GCGCACTGTAGCATCACAAAAAGCATTCACTATTGCTATGCGCATTTATTTAGTACTTGTATAAACAAGCAGAAACTGTTGTGCAAATTAATGAATGACCTGACAACAGATGTGTTAGAAATGCTTCTTCAGTACCAGGCAAGGCTCTTTGGGTAGATGTGATAGCTTTTATTAGACCAACTGAGTGGTTGGAAGCTTTTGGTCTAATAAAAGCTATCACAGCTACCCAAAGAACCTTGCCTGCCTATGTCCTTAGACCAACACGGCTACAACCAAAAACCCAGCCTTCAGTACCATGTATTTCCCTTACGAATCCTGCTTTGTAGAAGTAGGGAGCGGTTTTAAAACACACACTTGTGTCTCAGACTGGGTATTTGTAAAAACAACAAAACAAAGCCCCCAAATAACCTGTGTTATATATGTCTCTGGGTTTTAATGGAGTTGAACTCTTCTGCTGGGTAACACTGGCAGCAGCAAGGACCATTTGCAGTTTTAGTGGCCCTGTTTCTAAATTAAACTGAATTACTGCCCAGAGCTGTGTTGTTATCAGGAAAACTAGAAAAAGCACGAATTCTGGAAGGCCAGATGTAAAAACATTACAAGGCAGGGTATAAAAAATGAGTAACTCTTGAAAGATGTTAAAGTTAATAACAATATTTTTTTTAAATACATCAAAAGCAGGAAGGCGCACAGAGTTAGTGTGACCATTAGATAGCCAGGATGTAATAGGTGTGCTCAGGGATGATGAAGCCAGAGCAGAGAAGCTACATTAATTCTTTGCATCAGTCTTTGCTACAGAGGCTATTGGGACAATTTCCAGGCTGGATCAGTTCATCTTAGCAGACGCACCTGAAAAGTTAGATGAAACTGAAAAACCAACACAGTAGGTTTTTTTAGAATTAGTCAATTAATTAAAAGTAGCAAGTCACCAGGAACAAACAGTATTTACCCAAAAATTCTGAAGAACCCAGATGTGAAGTTGCAGAGCTGTTGCCGGTAGTAGATAACCTATCGTTACAAACAGTCTCTGACAGAGGACTGAGAGTTTGCTACAATAATGTCTCGGACGGCCAGAGCTGACTCGAGTTGCGTTAGAAATTGGTCGTACGTTAGGGCGGGCTGGTGAATGGAGAGGCAGACACAACTTATTGGTTGCAAAAAACTTTACTCACACCGCTTGCAATCACGACGCAGGTGGTCCGGTCGTCTGAACAACCACACGAGTTGTTCCAGCTGGCGGGGCCCAAGCC